ATATTCTACTCCAAATAGCAACAATATCTTAATTTATAGTTGCTTCGGTACTGCAAGCACTGAGTAATCAATGATGTCTGTTTCCAAGAAATGTAAAATTTAAATATAGTACTTGGAAAATCCACTTCTGAGGAATTAAAAGAAAATGTGATTATATTTAAATGTGACGAATTTATACGACCTCTTTATTGTAGAATATGTAAATTTAGAAAAAAAAAAAAAACTTTTAACAAGAAGAGCAAGACATGTCAATACCACATAATACATGGCAGCACGTGGTCTTAGTCAAACATACATCATGGATAAAATTACAGTAAAAAAGCAACATATCTCAATTTTTTTTTGTTCAGCTGCTGACAGAACATGCATGAATAGATTACCTCAATATACACACCAAACGACACATGTGCTTTTGAGGTAGTTCTCAATGCTACAATATGTCTGTAGGTCTACTCCAGGCATGGATGTAAGAACATTTGGAGATTGTCCTTTTGTGTGTTGATAGTTGTCTCACCATAATATCTGGGTTGGTTCTGTGAAGGATAGGTGACCTACCAATGGAATTAGACACCATTTAAAAGACAAAAAAAAAAAGAATAAATGTCCACAGCTAAATAACTAACATAGAACAGCAGTTCATTAAAGCTGGAGGATGTAATTTATATATCTGTTAAAACTGTCACTATGTTGTATCAGTATAGTATGATACAGATCTTTTGTGACAAAACAAACAAACAAAAAACAAATCTGGTTCCTCTGCCCTCCTATTGCTCCCAATGCTAACCAGAAACAATCAAGAAGGATCTTGGCAATGTCAATCATGTTTATGTATGCACTGCACTTAAATCCTTGTAGAGCAGTAACTTAAGTTGATGTTCCTTTTAACAATAGATGGAATTTCTGTCACAATTAAGCCTGATAATATTCTGTTAAACCCAAAGTTATTCATACTTCTGGCATATTTAGGTTTAATGTAATATTTTCATTTAGCCAATAGGCTTTTTCTAACATGCGGTAATATCAAATATTTTGGAGTAGCCCAGCCAGAAATGCAACTTGGTTCCGACAGTGTTGGTGGTTATCTGTAGAGGTCATTGTGCGAGAGGCTTTGTATACCCTGAACAGGTCACCGCACTCAATACACTGAGACCAATTGACCTATTGTTTATTTTTGGACTGTGAGAGGAAACTGGAATACCCAGAGAGGAACAAGTCGAATACAGAAACTTTACACAGAAAGATAACAGGCCAGGATATGAACCCAAGATCTTCAAAGTGTTGTATTGTATTACATATACAATACAGTTGTAATGAATGCACAACGTCAAATCTTTGAGTAGTAAACATACTTTGTTCTTATTTTAAGTCTTTGTAAATCAACAATATATACAATAAAAATAATTATGAAAATAAAATACATTAAAAAACTGAATTAATAAAATATAATCAATAATAAACGGTCAATATGACATAGCTGGAGAAGTCAAAGTCTGACTGACTGAAGAAACAAAGAGGAGTTTATACCACTGAGACAGCCAGATCACATGGTGCTTTCTTCTGCTAATAAGGTCTGAGGAACCTTATTACAGTAACATTTGATTCTGAAATACAGATTTAATAACTTGTGCACTCATTTTGTTAATTCAAACGTAATTCGCAAATGTTCCAACTAGCAATGACAGGATTTACTCCTATGATATCTTTCTTAAATGTCACTCAAGTTAACATTTGTATCATGCACCCCATTTGTCCCTCAGTGTTACCTTTCCTAATAGGGTGATGTGAATCTTTTCCAAATAAATTAAGCCAAAATCATTTGTTGCCATCTTGTGGGCAAAAATGCATGTAAAAGTTCAAAGTTATTTATATGTCAGACACTTTGATTGAGCTTTGACAGATGGCTCTTAGAGGTAAGATAAAAGTGCCAGTATCTTAGAACTTGAGTTGAAACAAACAAATGCATGTAATTATGGTTATTTTGTGGCACAGCTGACAAAAATCTGAAGACTTGCTAAAAATCAGAATATTTCATTTTGTCAAAATAGATAAACATTGATCACATTGTTTGGCAGCATGATTTATGGCAGTGTATGCAAACTCCCTTCAGATCATTGGCTCATTTTCCAGACTGAGGCAGATGCTTCACAGGGCAGAGATGCTGCCAAAACGGTGCTTTATGGTTGTTACCTACTGTGCTGCTGGACTGAGAGCCTTAAAGACAAACACCCCCAGGCATCAGACCTCTACCACTGGAATGGCTCCATCTGTGAGCCGACCTCAGGTCTGTTTTGGTAGAAAAAAATGTCAGATGGAGGGGGAGGAATACTTTTATCTGGAGCACATCGGGACAGGACAGGATGACTGTGTCACCTTCTGATACTGAGAAGATCTACTATTTCACAGCACATATATGATAAATGTGCTCTGAGACAGCAGTTAAGGCGGCAAGGCAGCAATGTAACATAGCTGAAAACCCAATTGTATTTATGTGAATCACACATGCACACACACTCATACAAACATTAGGACTCTGAATTGACTTCCATTCATTTTAGTAACAGTATTTATGCTTAACTTAGGCATTTCCCTTAACCGTAACCCATACTACTATGTTCCTAACCCTATCTTTAACCAAAGCCTAATTCACTCCATACCTATAAACCCTGAGCCCTCAGGGTTCATTATCATCTTCCTCCTCCCCCCAGCCTCACTTGGTACTAATCCTCTGGACAACTGATCTCCTGAAGTACAACATGGATCAAATTAAGAGTCTTGCCACGTCGCCATATCGATGTTCTCTTATTCAAGTTATGTCTCAACAATGTGTCCCTGCTGATTCATAATTCAGGGGGCTCCACTGAATTATGACCAGTTTTTGATCCTCATTTTTTCAGTTATTAATTATGAACCCAAAACAACTAAACCAAAACAGAACAAACAAAAAGGGAAACAGTAGAATTCCATGAGTTGCTAGAAGGAAATGAACTTCCAGGCCTTCCAGAGAAAGGCATGAGCAGGAAATTATATTTCCTAGGGAACACATGAGTTATGTAGAATCCCTGGAGCTCTTTTGTTTGGTAAAATGGAGAGCCTAAATCACAAGAGAGCAAAAGAGGGGGCAGAGCCATGCAATGAGGTTCAGTCAGTGTGAGAGCTCCAAGAGCAGGGGTGTGAGCTCTGACTGTGCTCCCCTCGGACGCCCCGGTGAGAGGTGAAAGAGCCATGAGAATGAGGCATGTGAGCGGGGAGTAAATGGTTTGCTGCAGCTAAATGTGGCCTGTAGATAAGACTCACACAGTGATGGGGTGAGTTCATGGTTAAGCTTTCAGAAACACATTAAACAACATTACCAGAAGTTTTTATGCACTCATAACCTGCTAGCACTATCTCGCTCTTGAAAGTTTATAGCACTCCTATCTTGGTAAAGTGAATTGGAAGAATGGCACCTTTTCAATTCCAGTGTTTTGCAAATCATGAATCTTAATGGTCTGATCTTTGTCTGAAGCATGGAAATGATTTGATATAAGTGACCTTTTTCTGTATGACTTTATCAATATTTTTTTTCCATAACACTATGAATTGATAAATGCCAGGACCAGATTTACACAGTCATAACGGTTATGCAGACAATTTACAATTTAACTCTTCAATACTGCTAAATGCGCAACATTCTTTCCCTCAATCTTCAATATGGTTCAGCAAAACATTCAAAGGCTTCATCACAGCTGCAAAGAAAACTTCCCTGATCAAATGATCAAATGATCAGGGAAAACTTCCCTGATCAAGTGATCAGGGAAGTTTTCTTTGCAGGTGTGATGAAGCCTTTGAATGTTTTTCTGATATGATTGTGGTTAGAAGAGGGAATGCAATTAATTCATTCTGCTATCTGTAAAGAATGGACCTATGTAGGAATAAATATCAAAGGTACCTACATTTACTGTTATGATTGGAAGCAAAAGAGGATTTATACTGAAACACACCTCCTTAACTTGAGCTTTCACTTACAAACACTGTTCTTTTGCCTACTTTGGTTGGTCAGCATAAGTTCTCCTTTATTGATTATTCCTTTGCAATGATAAGGAGTTTGTAGATTAAATGTATGTATTATTATTATTTTTTCTCCTTTCGGTAATAACTACCAGGTACGCAATGGATTTATAGTGAACTTGATTCTTGTTTATTGATTTGTATGGATTAAGGTTTAGATTATAAAACTTAATTTCTTATGAACTCTCACTATTTGGGATCCAAAGATTGACCTGCAGAGGGCACCAAAGTTCAATAATTCAAACTTTTGATCATTGCCAGATCTTTAATGTTTTACACAATCAGAGTCTATTGAAATTTAAAAAGAAAGAATCATTCATAGGAATCTTTATTACACCTCCGCATAATCTGTGTTTAATCCTGAATAAAAAGGATACAATTTTGCCTTTTCAATATCAGTAAGTATCTAAATCTGAGAGATGGTAGAAATCTACTTCTATGGTTTTAGTCAGATTGCTAATGAATGAGATATTCATCCAGCCTCAGCTTCAGTCCAAAACCCTTCTACCTAAAAAATCTATTAAAAAAAAAAACAAAACTTTTAAGTTTTGATGTCCAAATACTACGCCAACATTGTCTAATTAAAAAATATCATGGGCCAGGAAAAAGAAACAAATGCAAAACTCAAACATAGCGTAATTTAACAGAGGAGTTAGATTTTTGTAGTGATGGAAAGGTTAATCAAAATTAATAAAACATCACCATTACTGAAGATAAACATGTCTGGCCTTTAAAAGTATGTATTTCTCAAATTTGATTATTATTGTTGCTATTCATCCATACCTGTTAATTTTTGTGCAAAGCAAACAATTAGCTGCCTTCATGAAACTGTCATAATTAATAAGTCTTTTTGGACGCTCCCCATTAACTCCCAAAAACATAATTCATGCCAATTATGTATGATTTTACGAATGTTTGTAGAAAATCTACAAAGAAATAAAAAAAACAGCGACTCATCGATATGTTTTAATTTTACTTCTGGTCTCATATTTAGTCACAAAATTTACACATACAGAGTAAAAAAAACAAAATCACATATACTTACCACAAAGAAAAATATCACCCAACATTGAACTTTAGCATACACATATACATTTTTACACAAATTGTCACCATCACAAAGCAATATCACTTTATCTCAGCCTCATATATTACATATTTAAATTTACATGACAATATCATTTTGAGGCAGAGCATGCAGGGTTGGATCCGAACACTTGATCACTGATGAAAGCATTTGGAAAACCTGCTGAGCACACAGAATGCACATCAAAGTTTCTGCAATACATAACTGCGCTGTTTCATCAGGACACAGCACTGACAAAATCCTGCAGAACATGCACATCTTTTATAAATAATGGGATAAGTGAGCTTTAATTAGTCACAAACCTTTTCTGGCAGAGCAATGCTATCTTATGTAGCTACAGTAGTTTCAGGAGTTATTCAGAGGTGGTACAAATTCCAAAATATAATTAGAGATTTATTCTTGGGAATGTAATGTTGGTGGATGATTATAGTACCTTTGCCAAAAAGTAATCCCTTAAATTTTCTTTTGACATTTTATTACATTACAGGCACAAACTTCAAGATAACTTATTTACATTTTATGATTTTATGTGACAGACCAAACCAAAGTAAGGCATACTTGTGAAATGGAACATAAAATCAAACGAATAAAAACCTAGAAATATGGCATAAAAAGTGTTTTCAGCTGTCTTTACTCTGAAGCCCCAAATAAAATCCAGCTCAGACAACTCCTTTCAAAAGCCATCTAATGATTAAATGGAGTCCAACAGAGAATCATTTCACATTGACAATTCTAGGCTGGTTAGACAACATTATTGAATTAACAGCATCATGAAGATGAGGGAATGACTACTAATAAAATCAAATTAGTAGTGTGTCCCATGCCCTGTTGGAGGCAGGTCACGTGGAAAAGGCTACTTGTGGAAACGGACACACTGGACACATCATGCCCCATGCTTAAACACTGTGGTGGCAGCATTGTGTTTTCAACAAAAGTTAGTTCTACTGAAAACTTAGTCAGGGAACTTGAATACAAAATTTATGCCATTTATTTTAGATTTTCATTCATCGCAAAAATGTAAGTATCATTTTCCTTCCACTTTACAAAAAAGAACTCCTTTGTGTCACGCTGCTAAAATATATTAAAGTTTATGTTTTACAAAATATGAGTAGGACAGTATGGAGTGCCAAATTTTCAACATAATAAGGTAGTGATTGTTTTTTGGTCTTTTTCTTTTAAATGTTCCACTGCTCCTATTTTACATCTGAGGTTTTAACGCTTTGGACGTCTCAGTTTTCAGCCTCTTTACCACAGACCAAGAAGGAGGACAACTCATCCGTTCACAGTTTCTGTCTTTGGTCATTGTCATTTGACCTCGCAGGAAACGCTGTTCTTGACTGTGAGGCTCAGTGCTTCAGAGGCACGGAAAGAAAGAGCACTCATCTTAGAGCTGATGCTAGGATGAGGCCTTGCAACTCCGCCTGGAGAGCATCGCAGCAGTCTCAGTAAGTTCTTGCGAAAGTTGCGCCCTACAAAACTGTATACGATGGGGTTGACGCAGCTGTTGAAATAGGCAATGCAAATGGTGAACGGCATGGCAGTGTCAATGATTTCCAGGATGGTGCAGTTGTTAGCCAAGATAAGCTGAGTGAGCATCTGCATGAAGTGAAATACTTGGTGGGGTGCCCAGCACAGAAAGAAGGCCAGAACAGCTGCCGCAAGCATGTGCAGCACCTCGTCATCTCGGGAGCAGGAGCTTTTCTGGATATGCTTCCCCCTTAGCAGGGCCCGCCCAATAAGACAGTAGCAAGTGATAATGATGACAAAAGGTATCAGAAAACCCAGCAGGCTTTTCATGAGGCTGATACACAGGAGGAAATTGTTTAGCCTTTTGTCGTCTTTGTCGATTGGGTGCAGAGTGCCACAAACTATAGTTTTAGAGTTTTCAATGTAGTGAACATCCCTGGTCAAGGCTATGGGAACGCTAAGCAAAAAGGCAAACAGCCAGATCATCACACAAGTGATGTGTGCGTACACCACGGTGCGAAACCGCCGGGACCGCACCGGGTGCACAATGGCCAGGTAACGGTCAATGCTTAGGGCTGTGAGGAAAAAGATGCTTGTGTAGAGGTTGAACATAACCAGTCCAGCGGCAGTCTTGCACAGGAACCCTCCAAAAGGCCAGTGGTAACCCATGGCTGCAAAGGTTGCCCACATGGGCAGAGTGATAACAAAGGTGAGATCAGACACAGCGAGGTTGAGGACAAAAATATTGGCCACAGTTTTGAGCTTCATGTAGCAGTAGATGACTGCTACCACCATGCTGTTTCCGATGATGCCAATGACAAAGTTGAAGGCGTAGACGATAGGCACTAGGGTGAAGATGAACTCGTGGCTTCCAGACATGCCACATGTCAAGTTTATCCCTGCTGGCTCGTCTCTCATTTGGTTCGGCATTTCCCCACCCTTTTCTTTTGCAGTGCCAGATCTCTTAGAGCAGGGAACCGTGTCAGTGGGGGGTGCGTCTGTGGCGACTGATACAGGCCTTGGGCGAGGGCCTCGGCACGTCCTATAAAAGAAAATACAACAGAAATGTCACAGACAGTCTGGGAGAGGAGCCGTCATTACTGCTGGCATGGTCCATAAACGCTAATCCACACGAGCACCCATGAAAGTGCCCGCCCTGCACTAGCTCATTAAAGACCTGAACATTAAAGCCATCCTGAAGCTTTATGTTATTTCTGTAAATGAAGAAGCCATGAGAAACAGATGTCACATGTTTTTCAATATTCCAAAAATGTCCTGTGAAAGATCATTATTCAGACAGTCTGTTTTCCGTTCCCTCCTCTAATTTCTCCCTCAGCTAATGAAGGGCAAAGGGGTGGGGGAGTAGGGAATGCTTATCAGACTTGTGGACTGACAGCGCCCAGATGAACGTTTACACCCGGCATTATGACCTGTGCTAATTGAAAGCTTTCATGGCAAAGCTCCGAGCTCTGATGACAATGGCATTAAAGGCAGAGGTGCGAGAGGGAGCAGCGAGGAGAGAGTGAAAGAGCTCTGAGGCTCCGGTCGTCGCAAAAAGACCTGTCATGTTTGAAACCCTTGGCGTGCGGAGATACATCGCACCCAGCGTGAGAACTTCTAATCAGCACACACCTAAACAAACAGGACAGCAGGGATTCGGCTCTGTGGAAACTTCACTCTGTGAGAAAATCAAACCTGCGTGCCACAGAAAATTTGCCCCAGGGCTATTTTTTTTTCTTCATTTGTATGAGCAGAATGAGAGATGGTTGTAAAAATAAAAATCCTCCCATTTGCTGATAGTCTTTATGTTTAATAGAATAGCTTAGTGGTGTCATTAGTGGAACTGATGCAATAATATTAGCATAAGGCGTGTGTATGTAACATTTAGGCCATAAAGACAGTTTCTGTTACTAATTATGAACAAACAAGATGTTTGTGGATTCATTAAAGCAGGCAGACACACAGGGAGACATGTGCTGAGCTTTGAGCTCAAGAACAGGTAAATAGCTTGAAGATGCTATAAAAATTAAATGGGCAGATTTAGGGAAATTGAGTTGACTGTTTTGTGAGATAATGACAAAAGGCAGAAATTAAGTCCTTAAAGTACCAGTTTGGTGAAACTGTGCGTCTTGCCACAAGGTGGCACTCTAGCAATACAATTGCACCCAAATGTTCTTTTTGTCTCACTAGAGAGCAAAAAAGTGTTGCATTGAAAAATTTAGGCAAAAATAACAGGCTAGTGTTTGTTAAATTAAAATCAAATTTTGTTCTTTGAGAAACTGGGTTCGTGTTGTCCTCAGAGTGAAGTTAAAGCTGTCTGAGCCATGAAGTGGAACACTTTTATCTTAGATTCGAGGATCTCTTCATTTTCCACCAGGTTTTAGCAGATGAATTCTCAGAGTGCTAAAGCAACAGTGGTATCGGTTGCAGATGTGGGTACTGCGTCTTTAGTGTGGAAGGTACACGAGTGCCAAAGGCAACACCGTAATGAAAAGCTCTCAGAGTTTCCTGCACAAACCTTCCTTTGTAATGGTTACAGAGCAAAGAGAGACCAGAGATGTCATTGCTGGGATTTAATAGACATATTTTTTCCCTGTGTTTGTGCCTGTGAATCAAAATAATTATTCAAAGAAGAACCACACCATTATTTAGAGGTTGAGATTACAATGCCTTGCAAAAGCGTTCAAAATCAATTAATGCTTCCATGGTTTAATAAACTTTAATGCAATCTAGATAACATATCACAAAGCATTGCATAATTGTGAATTGGAAGGAAAATTATTAATAGTTTTCAGCATTTTATACAAATTTATAAATCCAGTTGTTTTATGGAGACCTCACAGGTCTGTGAGAGAACATCAGTGAAGATCAAGAAACACAGCAGACAGGTCAAGAATTTGACTGTGGAGAAGTTTAAAGCTGGGTTAGGTTACAAAGTAATGTCCAGAACCTTGAACATCTCTCAGATCTCTGTTCAATCCATCAACTGGAAACAGAAAGACTATAAAACTAGAATGACATGGCTGTCCTTCTAATCTGACAGGCCAGACAATGGTACCATCATAGTAACTTTCATGGTATCTCTGGAGGATCTGCAGAGAGCCATAGCTCAAGTGCAAGTCATGTAGGAGACACAGTAAACGTGCAAGAAGATTTTCTCTCGACTCAAACATGGTTGTGACATCATAATTGTGAGGATGCTTTTCTTCAGTAGGTACAGAGAAACTGCACCATTACGAGGAAGATGAATAGAGCTCTGTAAAGCTATATTGAAAGAAAACTTGTTAGGGGCTGCCGATGCCACGATTAGAATAAAGGTTCCCCTTTTTGCAGAACACTGACCCTAAATTTACAACCGTGGTTATATTGAAATGATTTAGATGATTTAGTAATGTTGAGTAAAAGTCACAACTATGGCTAATGTTAGGCTATCACATAATCCAATGAAATAGATAGAATTTGGGGTTATACCAAGACATAAGGGAAAAAGATTTCAGGTTCTAGAATTACAGTGAATATCTTGGTGGTCAAAGCATTTCAGATGACCACAAGTGGACAAAATTTGACAACATATGGACTGTACAGTATGTGATTAGTTGACCATTGGTATTTTTCCATGAGGGGGATAGTGACTGCTTGTGCAGTGCTATTTGAGCAAAGCTGAAAGTCATGCATAAGAGAATCCTGTAAAAATTGTTAGGTGGTTCCAATAGAAGGTTGATCGGCAACAGGTTAATAAGCCCCGCTCTGTCCAGTGAGCTTCAGCTCTGAGTGAGATGGTACATTACTAAACGGTAGCCATAAACCCTGGGTGACTACACTCAGGAAGGTAAACATCTACTTCACAAGCTCCAGGAGCAAGCTGCATCCTCTAAGACAAGACAATGGTCTGTGTGTCACTGTGCCTGTCTACAAACACAAAGCTGCTTACAATGAAAGATAAAATCAAAGTTTTGAGGAAGTTTGTGGACTTTTCCGACCCAAAACGTACTGACTGAGTTCTGAGTGACACTGCAGTTGCAACATTTCACTTCTAATCCTATTTTAGGGGCATTCAAATGTGCCTCTTCCTGTGTGAACTCATGGGAATCCTGCTGGAGAAAGTAACCCGGACTGAACAGAAATGAGGTTCCCATCAACTGAGTTATGCGAAGCTGCCCGCAGCTGTAGCACCAATCTGCTCTGACATGAGCACCACCATCTGGTCAGCCATAGCAAGAAGCAACTACAGTCTCTGGCTGATGGAGTTAATGATTTATACAAAGCCCATTAGGAAGCAAGGTTCACCATGCCATTAGGAGGCATGCATTAGCCATCTCCTGATTGTCCTCTCATTTCAGCCTCGTTTGGTCAACAGGAAGTTCCTTCAAGAATAGGTGCTTTCAACTCTTCACATCCTGCACATCTTAACAAGTTAGAAGAGCACACAACTGTCTCACGCCTGCATTAAAACTGCAAGACAGTATAACTCATCGGTTTCTCCATGAGGATCAATATTAGTTATATCTAAACATACCCTCTCACAACTTTCCTCAGAATTATTAAGCTGGCATTTCAAATGAAGTTCAAAACTTCTCGCACTGTTTGTATTTTGCATATAAAGTATTTTGCATCTTTATGTGGAGAAAAATGAAGTAAATAAGTGACAGCATAGTCGCCATCATGAACATTTTATCCATATGCCCCCGATCAAATTTCAACAAAAACTTGAAAACCATGAAAGATCTTTTTTGGAAAACAAACAAAAACAGTCTGACTGGAAGGGGGGAAAATATAAAAGATTATGTACGAAAACTGTTATGAAGTTGTACAAATAAAATTGCACAACAAAAGTTTAAAATATTTAAGAAATGTTGCATATATATGCCCAACTGTAAGTGGAAAAAGTTTTAGAAAAAGATTATGTATGCTGAAGAAAACTTGAAGCTGTGATTTCTTCTAAATTCCAGGTGCCGTCTGTCTGTGTGTATGTGCTAAAAGAGCTTTTCATAGTGAATGTATGTTCTAAAACTATTTGGAAAAACTTGTGTATGCATTCATTCATATTCCACAGAGTGGTGGCAGCATTGTGACGTGGCGATATATCACAATGTATCTTTTCCTATTTCTTCAAGAGAAATAAAAGGTGGGTTTAGCTGAACATGATCTGTCTGTCTATCTATATTTACTGGATTGCCAATGAAGATAAAATACATGTTCCTACTATTTCAGATACACTGGTTTGATTTCCACTGAAAACAAGCTTTATATTTAAATGGAAATGACTTTTAATCTATATTTGCCAGAGGACTGAGTAACTGCTAGTCATTTTTTGTGACTGCGATATTGCACAGATAATTTTGCTCCAATGTAATCAACGTGTTGTGCAGTTTAAAATAAACATAGCGATAATTTGGATAGTTGCAGCTAGACTTGATTTTAATTGAGATCTTAGGGGCTTATTGTTTAGCATAAGCTAACTGGGTCATGTCTTACGGTGTGCTGCCGAGCAGCTAATGGAAACTGTACATTTCAAATGTCAGGTCCACAGTTGTTTGTTTACTGAACTAAGTCCACATGTGACCTGCACAATTAAACAGAACAAGGTTCTGCCCACAGAGTTCTATTCATTTCCTGTACTATACTCATATGTCTATTTACATCACAACAGAAAAGAAGTCATGTTCTCGCCTACTTATTTTTAGTCCATTAGAGGATTACTTTGCTGCAGAGCTTTGACACTGCCTTGCTTATTAATATGTAAACATCACAGGCTTATGAATCATCCGGAAAAGTTAGACCTATTTATACATCTCACATTTTAGTCAAGAATAAAGTCTTTGAAAAACAAGTTTATGCTTCATTAATAGATAGTCTCCTTTATTCACACAGGCCCACATGATTTTATTCTCAGAACAATTTCCGCTTACCTTTAGATGACATTCTTTAAAAATTGGGCATTTCAGCAGGAATGCAACTTTTGTTTTGTCAGGAAGCGGATCTAATCTGATGGGTCTATGAACACGCTACTTTGCATAGGTTGCGAAATATATTTCAGAATTTCCTTCATGCCATTTCTAAAGGTAAAGCAGAAACTTTGCAGGTCTTTCACATGAATAACCTAAACAAACAGCAACAATGGGCCTCACCCGTCAAAGCAGTGGTTACAAATAACATGTGGACTTGTCATTACATAAATATTATTATAACTGCCAGCGTTCTGCCTCAGGACAGGGAGCTACTAGCTAACTGCCTGAAAAACACTCTTTAATTACTAAAAACAACAGAAACCAAGATAGTTTTGACATAAAAACTTTTGTTTTAGAGTGTGAGTTCTTACCTTCAGCTGTGGAATCAGGAGGCTGTGTAACGCCTTCAGAGCTGGATGGACAGAGGGACAAAGAGAGACCACTGCAGAGTGCCAGTGCCTGTCTGTGATTTAACTTAACTCATGGAGCGAGATGAGCAGGACTCCTGCCTGACACACAGACAGACCCCCTCCCCACGCTTCCAAATTCTCTCTCTCTCTTTTTTCCTCACAAACAACACACACACACACATTCGCACGTACACACGCACTACGATAATAAATGGAGTTTATTGGAGCCAGTTAAGTTTTGTCCTGGCCCAGCTATATTTACCCAACAGGCCATAGTCACACTCTCACACAAACAGCGTCACTGAAGTTCTTGCTGTTCTGTTTTGACTGTCCTGTATGTTTTCAATCACTCTTTGATTTCATTTGAATATTGCTGCCATGCAAAGGGTATTCTTGATGTTCTTGCCTTTTCTAGAGTTGTTTGTTTTTAATCGCTTTCTTTTGTATGAACTGAATTTACTTGAAAATTGCTGCCATGCAGAGAATGTTCTTGAACTTCTTGCCATTTCTCGATCTACTGCCATGAAGTGAGCTCATCATGTCAGCACCCTGTCTGTCGCCCTCGACTCATCCTGAAAGGAGCAACCAGGCTCTGATTATGATGGACCCTGTCATCATGGTTATTAATAGTTGCTAAATGCTGTCTCTCAGTTTGAATCGAGCAGTATTGTTAAAGGTCCGGGGGGGTAGGGATCTCAGAAAGGGGGTAATTTGGGGCTGGCAGGGAAGAGCTGGGTTTTACAGTCATTGTTGGGGTTTCTCCAAACATTTCCTGTTTAACAGCATGAGATTCAGCTGTTCTTATTTTACTTCTTTATTTTATTTATTATTATTTTTTACACACTCTCTGGGACTCTGTTCTATTCATCCCCAAACTTTACCACTGTTGCAAAGTCTGCAGTATGTAAACTGGCTATTACTGGTCCTATGTGGGTAAAACATGTCCACTGTGTGGATAAAAATTGATGCATATTGGCACGAAATGTCCTGTGGCAGACTGCCCCATTTTGTACCAAGTACCAAACAACCAAAACTGTGAAAACATGAAATAATGAAGTTATAAATGGAAATGCACTTCTCCAATGTCTCTCTTGTGACTGAAGTCTTTGATAAAAATAAAAATTTAAAGGAAGATCTTTAGCACTAAGGGAAGGAATCTGAGGCCCCACCACTTTGAGAACGTTTAATCCAGCTACGTTATAAAGGAATCTCTATTTTTAGAGATCACATGCAACTTCAGGCACAGACCGGTACTAAAGGTATTTGTCTCTCACTATTTTCTCTTTCAGGATCCTCACAGAAGTTGAGAAGTTGCCTCCCTACTTAAAGCATGCTGAGGCGTAGTGAGGCCTTGGCTGTTGTGTAATAAGTGCAAAGAGTTTTAGTAAACAAAGAGTTGAACAGAAAAGTCATGAACGTAAAATAAAGGAAACAAACAACTATGAAGCTGCAGCCAGCCCGATTGGTGACTTTTTCTCACTCTGGTGTGACCTTACCATTTGTAAGTGTCCAAGTTGGAGTGAACCTCAACAGGTGAAAATACCCAGGAGGTCGAAAGGGAACTAATACAAAAGTTTGGAGAGACTTTTGGAAATACAATGAGATGCAGGTACAAATCTCTTTTATACCTGTATTTCAAAGAAGGCAGGCTGTCAGAATTTATCTCGCTTTGCACAGCAACAGAGCCATTTACACCTCTAGAGGGACTGCAGTTCAGCTCCATTATATCTTCAATTTCTGCGAATGATAAGAACTATCCATTAGGCTTGGTGTATTCTATGAGAGCAGAAAGAGTCTGCGGCAGCAAATTCTTGCCCTGTGCTGCCACAGGAACAATCAATGGCCTGCATCTGACCCCATGAGTCCTCTCAGGAAGCAAAGATGAAGAGTAATGCATCAGGCACTGAATCTCTAGCTGTATGTTCTACAAAACAAACATTTTTTTTTGTGGGGACAGGATGTTGTTGCAACACCCAGCACTGTAACAATGATTTACACTCTTGGACTACAAGCAGAAACAGATGTTGATGATTTAAAAATGGATATTTGTGAGAATTTGATGTGGGAAAATGTTGTCTCTTCAGGGATGGTACTATTATAGAAAGGGAAAATGGTGTTTATCTGAATTTGCGGACGGTACAGCAAACCAAAAGAGATTCCCCTTTCAGTGGGCGATCCAAGATTATGTCTAAAACAATGTTTTGCAACATTGTGCAACAGAGGTAAAATACTGGCTTATTTATTTGATTTATTGATTGTATGTTGCATCATTTCTGAGTGAGTAAGGCCAGAAATTGGATGAGGCTTCCTCTCTTACACTCATTGCTCTGAGGTGTGGTAGTGCTTGATGTTCTTGCTAATCAAATCATTCTAACAAGATTAGCTTGGTTAGCGCTTAAGCTGTTGTAGAATGAATTGTCATAATTACTGGTAGCACAAGGAGCACCGCGGGGAAGGACAGACTGTGTGCAGCACAGCAACACAGCCGGTGAAATGCCAAACCCAAAGCAGAACCACCTACTAGAGAAACACAATACTGTGCAATCTGTGAAGATTGAGTTCAGACCATAAAGGGCTTACTGAGATTGAGTAAGGAGCTGTATAATCTCCTTACGGAAAACAAATCTCTCCCTCCATATTTATTAGCACACCTTGTAAAAATCGGTGAAGACGTTCCAATATCTTAAAATAAATGAAAACGTCATTTTTATATAATTAAGTTACATTTGCATCAGCTTTTCAAGATTTTTTCTTTTATTAATTAAACATTTTTACAAACTGATCAAGTTTAAAAAGTAAAATGTAAAACATACTTAGGGGCACCATAAGTTATGGTACTTATGATTTGAAATACAAACAAAAAATAAAAAAAATACTGATAATAATATTGGGGATTGTCTCCCCATTTAATAAAAATAAGCAAATTCCCAAAGTAGATTTTTTTAAAATTCAACGCAATTAGAGCTATACTTATTTTAGAATCATTTTATAAACCTTTATGTGCTGTTATTGTACATAACATTGGCATGTTTCTATGAAATTCACATTGTGTGAACAAATTGCATTTTTAATTAGCATTAACAAGCCATTTTGTATTTCATCATAATGAATAAATACAGAACACAGACATTTTTTTCTTTGCACATATGGCATTCATTAGCTTGAAATATTCCAAACTCTCTTTTGTGCATTGCAATATTACTCTGAGCGCACAAGAGGCAACATATATCAGAGGTGAATGACATGCAGTCTCAATGATCATCATAAGTCTTTAATAAAAAATTGTCCACCTTGTATAGCATTTCAGTTTCTATTTACTATGCATGTCTTCCCCATCATTCCTGTGGGAGCTGAACACATTTTATCTTGACAGGACTGACACAGAGAACAGGTGGAAATGATCAAATATTTCCTGTTATGAAAGCTCAGTTCAACTTTTACTTCTTTTTAAGGTATTGTAAGATCTTTGGCCGTTCCAAGGGGATTTAGAGTATCGCTTAGAGAACAGAGCAGATGATTAGTTTGAGGATTCACAGAAAATAAAAAAAAGAAGTTGTAAAATAAAGAAGAAAATATGTCCTTCTAGCTCTCTGCTGCTGTACATCTCCTCCACCACAGCAGAAGCAGGTTGTGAAGGTGCAGGATAGTTAGCATCACCACCAGTGACAGTAGACAAACAGCTTTCTTGTAGCATTGGGTTGTTTCTTTGCCTATAAAGCTGTAACAAAGCAACAATCTTGAATTTTAATGCGCTGAATGGAAACTAGGTTGGTGTCATTGGACCTGGTCTCCAGCTTCCAAATGCTTGTTACAGTGTTTGTAGCAAACAGCAAATGAGAGCTTTTATGATTTTGTTATTGCCACTCTTGGATTAAGACCGGATATTTTGTGTGCACAACCGATCTGTCAACAAATCAGTTGACAGATCGAGCTCTGGCTCTCTGCAACTCCTCTTGAGTCACCATGGGCATTTTGATGGCTTCCCTGATTCATGCTTTTATAGCTTGTCAGTTTTGTTGCTAGTTTTTACATCGAAGTATCAGAATAAAGTTGGCTGTATTTCAATCCATACCACATATGTCAGAATTAAATTTTCACAAAAAAAAATAAGAACCATATATTTTTCATGATCTTTTTATGCTCTACTATGTCTCTGTCTATCATACATTGAGGCAGAATAAATCTTCCTCAGATGACCCAAACATGTTAAATGTGACGTTAAGTGGTCTTTTATTTTCCCAGTTTTATGTGAAGCTGTCAAGGACAGCGCACTCACCATCCTTCTTCCGTAGTCAAGGTTCAGAAAATATTTACTGCACCTCTCACTCTGAATGGACCTGCCTTGTTACTGCCATGACCAACATATGTCAAAACTGTGACTCAGAACCAGCGGTTGTGTAGGAGGATGACATAATCAAAGAATTAAAAACATAATGTCCTCTATCACATCAGCTGGGTAGCCTTTTTCATTAGTTCAACTTGGAACCTGGAATGAACACTTTTTTAAAATAATTTTATATTTAGCTTTAACGTTGTGGAACGTGAAACTGTATGACCCAAAGGTTGATTCTTGACATGTAAAACAATGTAGCCAAACTTTAGATTGGAAAAAATTTAACAGAGATGTACAGACAACCAATCTTTTCCACAAACAGGAAGTGTCTTAGAGACTGGAGGAAGGCCTGTAACAAATGCTGAATTAGTTATCGTTTAGTTCTGAGCTCCCCGAGGTTACTTTTTTTTTTCTTCTTTTTTTCTATTTTTTTTTACATCCACACATTCTTTAAGGGAGGGATGGGAAAATGCTGAGGGGGGATGCTCAGGGAGGCGAGCTACTTCTCATTCAGCATAACCTCTCCCATGAATGTTTTGTGTTCCTTATAAGATCTTTGGTGGATAAAACCATTTTCGTACTTCCTTCCAGTCTAGTGAAGTTTTTCAGTTAGTGACATTTAAATTAAATAAAGGGAGTGAGATGTCATACTGCAGTTTTCCACGCCCATAAGGTAACTATCTATTCTGCTAAGCAAGTATTACTGACTTTTAAATTCAATAAAGGCAGTG